AGCTTGATAACTTGCTTGAGTTATATCTTGGTGGTGCAAGATGACTCAAATTTCGCCTTGGAACCATTTTTTTTGGGAAAAGAAAGTCACAGCAAAGTTCTCGGTAGGAAGCAAGTAATATGCAGAGAACGAAATAACACTGAATAGAGGAAACCCTAAATTGATAAGTCTTACTTGTATTTCAATCTTCTTTACTACGCACTTATAATTTAATGATAAAGCATAATTATTACTGCCACGTTACATTTCCTATTTAAAACTCTTTACCTTGACACTAAATTATATTCTCTCACTGAACATTGTAGAGGCCAGAAACAAAGATTTAGCTGTAACTGCATTAACGATTCAAAGTTTGTTGAATATTAAAAATTCCGATCAACGTCCGTTCTGCGGGTAATGTCAGCTTTGAAAACATAGTACGCCAACTATGTGATTAGTGGTACTTTAACAAGAGGGTAGCCCAGGGAAGGGAGGGGGCTGGGGGTCCTGATCCATTCTTAAGCACGAATTTTAGACAAATTGACGCGTCACATGTACTTTAAACAGCATACGTCGTTTAATAGGGGAAAACTTCAAAGCTCTCTTCTTATGTGCGAGGTTTGAGGAAATCTTGGGGTTTTCACGAAACGAACAAAAAACAAACAAACAAAAAAAACTCACAGGTCACATTTGTTTCATGGGGCAAATCACGCCTTATATTGGGTCATGAATTCGCGAATCACGCTCGCCTTTCTGTAAAATTCCCGGCGCACAGATGTTAATTTTGGCCTTAATCACGTGACACGTTTCAACCCTTTGCCTTCCCCCAACAAAATCGCGCCTCTCTGACACGTTGCCGAAGGTCGTAAAAGTTATTCACAACAAACAAGTAAATCTATGACCGAATCAAGATGTTGGATAAGACAAGAAAAGAGAATTTTCTCGTCGATCATCAAATGCGCTCAGTCGAGGGAGTGTAACATCCTTTTCTTACAACGTAGCCTATCAAATTATGCCAAATTTAATCAACTGTAAACAATAGGGAAGCTCATCTTATTCGATTTAAGAAGCTGCTAGAGAATTTTCCATCCTTACACTCTTAACTAACTTACTGCTGGGTGAGGCAATAAATCCAAAAACTGAAGAATTGGCGCAGAATTCCCGTAACTTTGCAAGCGCTCAGCAATATTACACGAGTTCGCA